ATTTTAAATTATGTTTAATGTTGGATTTGCTTAAAAAAACAGTGGCATCAGCAATTGTTGAGGGCAGTTGGGATGTGATCTATCGTGGCTGAAGCCCAGAGGTTAATCCCTGGCGAGTGTGTTCTGGAGCAGCAGGTCAGAGATGCTTTCGGCCGACAGGTGCGTGGTGGCTTTTTAGGGGTGATGTCGCATGGTAGATAGGAGCCTGGACTTGGATCCATGCTGTGGGTATGAGTCTTCGGTCTGCAGTCACCTGGAGCAAATTACTTATCCTCCCTGAGTTGTGGTTTATTCGTATATAAAACGGGAGTGGGAACCACAGTACATTCACCGTACTGTCTGGGCAGGATCAAGAGTTAGTTCCTGAGGGGTGCAGCTGACCGAGGAGCTCGTTAAGTGGTGATGGTGGCAGAGGAATCCCAGTGGTTAGTAGTATTGGGGTTACATTTCTCATCATCACAAATTCCCTCATGTCAGAGTCCATGGCTGCTAGGGGAAGTCAATAGGAAATAGGTTGCACTTGTTGGTGGACTGACTGTATTTTAAGAATTGAGGAAGAAAATCTTCTTAGTGCTCAAGTGACAACTTCGTATCCTACCTCAGGTGTGCTCCACCGATAACTGTGGGTTAGGGATTCTGTCTGTAGTTCTGTTGCCTTTTGACGATATAAAAGGTTACCAGCCCTTGAGTCGTAGGCTCCTATAGGAGGAGGGACGGCCTCCCTCCTGGCACTTCCCATGGTATCTGCAGCGATGTCTCTGGTGCCCACTGAACAGCAATCAGCAGGATGCGGGTTCAATGGGTAGCTTCTCCTATTTCCATTCACGACCCCATACACCTCTGTCAGACTTCTCTCTTGGTATCTCCACAGAAGGAGGGGCAATGGTGAAAAAAGGGTAGAGAGGAGTTGCCTAATTCAGTGGTTCTCAAATGAGGGAATGTTACCCCCCTCCCATCATTTAATGGCTAGAGCCTAGGGATGCCGCCAAACACCCCACAAATCACAGGACAGCCCCACACAACAAAGAATGATCTGGCCCAAAGTGTCAGTAAAGCTGAAGCTAAGAAACCCTGAGTGACCCCAAACGAACTAGCAGGTAATAGTGAAATGCCATTTTATGCAGGGACTCCCTGGCTGGCAGGACAGGTAAAGAGGCTGGAGATGGGGGAGCTGGATGTCTTTTGTCTGAGGAGCGGTCTCTTTGTCCCGGGCTCAGCCATCTCTTCGTGGCACGGCAGCCTCATCTATGTGCTGGTCTCTGGCAGTCCTCAGAACCTTAGAGAACCCGTGCCTGCCGTGTAAGAGCAGAGCTGGTGGCTGACTGCCACTGGCCGTGCCAGCTCATGACGTGCCTGGGACAGACTGAGTCATGCCGACTGGGACTGCAGCCCCGGAGGAGAGCCATCTGAGACTCTGGAAAATGGTAAAGCTTCACATCACCCACGGGGAGGTTTCTTCAGGAAGCATATTCCAGAGGAGGGTTTTATTTTTTATTTACATATTTAGCAGGCACTTATGTAGTGCCTGTTATGTGCCAGGAAGTTTTAAAATAGTTTATAAATGTTGAACTTTTTAGACTTCATAACTACTTTAAGAGGCAGGGTTATTATTATCATTCTTTTACAGGTAAGGAAACAGGAGTGGAGAGCGAGGACTCAAACCTAGGAACTTTGACTCTGAAGTGTGGGCCCTTAACCACACTGCCAGGGGTGGGGAACCTTTTTTCTGCCCTGGGCCATTTGGGTATTTATAACATCATCCGTGGGCCATATACAATTATCAGTTTAAAAATTAGCCTGCTGTATTTGGTCACACATTTGCTTAACTCACCTCTAATGCTTGGCGGGGCCAGACCAAATGATTTCGTGGGCCTCATACGGTCTGTGGGCCAGATGTTCCCCACCCCTGCGCTATGCTAAAGATGAAAGACACTGAATTTCGCACTTGGTTGTTTTTTTTTTCACCTTGGCTCTTGACTCCCAACTGGTCCAATTGAGGCATCAGGGAATTAGGCAGATCTGAGTTATCTCTGTAACCACGAACACATTACTTCATATCTGTGAACCTCAGTTTTCCCATCTGTAAAATGAAGTCATACCTATCTCATGGAGAATATGGACATGTCATGGGATTTCATATATATATATATGTGTACACACACACGCTAGAAGCCCAGTGCATGGATTTTGTGCATGGGGGTGGGGGGTCCCCTCAGCCCAGCTTGCATCCTCTCCAATCCGGGACCCCTTGGGGGATGTCCAACTGCCGGTTTAGGCCCAGTCCCTGGGGGCGATTAGGCTGGCAGGGGGGGCAGTGAGGGGCGACTAGGCTGGTGGTCGAGGAAGGCATTTGAGGGCGACCAGGCCAGCGGGGGGGGGGGGCAGTTAGAGGTGACCAGGCTGGCAGAAGGGGCAGTTGGGAAGGGACCAGGTCTTGCAGG